TAAGAAAAAAGATTAAAAAAATTGTTAGAGTTTTATTTTTTTAGAATTTTGTGACTGAGAATGGATTTTAGTGATTTTTTGAAAAATAATTTTTTTTTGAAATTTATTTGATTAGGATTGCACTATATAATTCTTTGAAAAAAATAATAATTCATATTTGAAAATTTACTCTAATTAGAAATTAGTCAAATATATTCCAATAAAATTTAATATATTACTTTATAGTATATTAGTTATTGTCTATACCTGAAGGCAGAGAGTAATAAAAAATGATAAACAATAAACACATTTGTATTCATATCCAAAATTAAATTACAAACATAGAGAAGAGATAAAATGTGTTTAAGTATCGATTTGTAGTGTGGGCGGTAGTGGTGGTGGTAGGAGACGCTGATGGTTGTGGTGAGTGGTAATGACCGTGGTGGTGGTGGCAGTGGCAATAGCGGTAGGTGGTGGCAGCGGTAGTGATGGAGGTGGCGACGGTGGTGGTGGAGGCGGTGGTGGTAGTGGCGATGGTGGTGAGGGTGGCAATGGTGGCGACGACGGTGGTGGTGGTGACGACGATGACCGTGGTGGTGGCGATGGCGGGAGCGGGGGAGGTGACAGCGGCGACGGTGGTGGCGGCAACGATGATGGTGGCCGTGGTGACGGTGGTGGCAGTAATGACGGTGGCGGCAGTAGCGGTGGTGGGGGGTTGGCAGCGACAACAGTGGTGGTGGTAGACGTAGTGGTGGGACGATTTCAAACACTATTTTTTAAAAGTATTTATGAGAAATAATTTTTAAAAGTATTTTTAAAAAGTCACTCTCAACACACCCTTAGGAGCCTATTTTTTCTATTAAATTTAGGGTGTTAATATTAGCTGTTAGATTAATTTTAAAGTAAAATTTAAAACAATATCAACCACGAATAGTAAAAATTATTTTATTTATTTTTTAAAATTTAAATTGTAAGTTACTTTATTATATAAATATTATAAAATATATTAAAAATACATTACAATTTATTTTCACACAAAATCTTAATCCTATTTCAAAAGTTTACTATAACTGAAGAGTTATGATGATGTAACATAAAATAATTTTTAAAAATAATTTATATATATATATATATATATGTATATAATTATTTTTTATCTTAAAAACATAAGGGTTAAATTTTTCGATAAAAATGTCTATATGTGTTATTCATTTTTTAGGACTTGAAAATTATTTATATAAATTTTTTAGGACTCGAATTAACTTATATCTGTATTAGTTATAACCCGTGCCTGAAGGCACAATAGAACAAAAAATTCGAGTCCTAAAAAATCAATATCACTATATTAAATAATAATTTTTCTTGCCTTCATTTATTTGATTAAATCATTCAAAATTTATTTTTACCCATTATTTTCTTAAAGATATTGACAAATTTTCTCAAAATATGTAATTCGATAAATTTTTTTAACAGATATATACTATCGTGTATGGATAATATCTGAAATAAAAATTATGTTAAATTATAAGTTAATCAAATATTAAATGATTGAACATGTGATAGAAATGAGTGATGTGGTAATTTTGGAGGGAAAAATGTATAGAGGATAAAATTCAACTTCCCATGTGTTTTATTATATAGATTTGTATAGATATAAAGGGAAAATTTCATCCAGATCTCATTTAGTTAGGTTTAAATTCAATGACATCTTTTTCCAATTTTGAAATTTCACTGTCACTTTCTATTAGTGATTGTCGGGTTACACCGTTACTTACAATGCTTGATTTATAGAAATATCCCCGAGTATTTTATAGGGTAAATTTTATCCACACCCTTTATAAATAAACCTAACTTTAACAACACCCTCTCTTAATTCTGAAATTTCAATGCACTAATTTTCAGTTCTATTATATTAGCTTTTATTTTAATCAATTTAATATTCAATTTTATCAAATTAATTTTCTTTATTTAATTTAAACTAAATTAACATTTTATCTCATTGAATCAACACAAAATTGATATTTAATTTTATTAAATTAGCATTTAGTTATATTAATTTAATATTTCATTCAATCAAATTAATATTATTTCTTTAATTTAATATTAAGTTATTATTTATTTTTATCAAATCAACATCAAATTGACATTCAATTTTGTTCAATTAAACTATTTAATTTATTAAATAGAATATTAAATTTTATTAATTTAAAATTTAACCTTATCAAATTAATGTCATTTCTTTAATTTAACACGAAATGAACATTTAATTTTATTAAAACAACATTCAAATTTATTCAATTAACATTAAATTCAATCAAATTAAAATAAAATTAATATTTAAATTTATCAAAATTAAGATCAAATTTATTCAATTAATATGAAATTTTATCAAACAATTTTAAATTTTATATATGAAGTATGATGTGTGAGGAGCGGTTGAGCCAAGTTGTGGAAGACATATGATAACAGAGAAATTAGAAATGGATGAGATTTTTTCATTGACTTTATCGATTGTAATTTTTATTATAGAAAAAGCATTTTTAACAATAAAAATTATTATGATTAAAAATTATAAAAATTTGATTATGTAACCAAATGAGTGACAATATGATGACTAACACTATAACAAAATTATAATACAACATTTTAAAATAAAAAAATTATTAGGATAATATAATAATTAAAATTACGTTTGTTGGCTGGCTAGCGCATATATAATGGGGAAAGAATTGATGACATTTTAGTTTATTTATATAATAAAGGATAATTTTAATATTTTTCACAAAATATTTAGTTAAATCATTATTTTATCTACTGATAGAGACAAAAGTTATTGTTACAGGAGTTGTCATTAAATTTAATCTCAACTACATGGTGTTTGAATGAAACTTTCCCTAGATATAACATGTAAATATAGTATGTCTTCTATTTTTGTACTATATATATGCACAGTAAATATGTGTGTGTGATATGAACAGTAAAGATGAATAATAGCTGCATTAGAATAGAATTTTGGGGAGACATGTGTTTCAATTTGGAAAAAGAGTCATGAAAGATGAGAGTGTGAGAGATAGTCAATGTCTCAGTATAGAAAGTCATCTCTTAACATAGGAAATAAATTCAGAAAAATAATGATAAGAATTGTAATCTATATTTTAGGGAGAGAGAGACAAAGTTGACGAATGAGATATCGTTTAATTGCCGGATTTAATTGGGTTGAGAAATTAAATATAGGGATGTTAATTTTAGAAACTAAACGTTTTGAGTGGCAAAAATTTCAAGAGTTAATATGTTACGTCAGATCGAAACGATCTAAGACGTCAATAACTTGAGACAATTTGAAATATCTTTGACTGTTGGATGATGTTTTTTTTAATCTCGAAATTATCTGAGCCGCTCTTTATCTCTTGAATTTAAAATTGTTCTACTTTATATATATATATTTGTGTGTGTGTGTGCGGAGGGGGGGGGCACAATTATTTCCTTTGCATTAGATTTGTGAAAATTTTGAAGAGTTTTTAAACACTTTATTAAAAATTTTAATGGTGCATATATTTTGTAATGGTAGTATAGTCAATCAAAATTTTCTATAGAAATTGATTTTTATATATGGAGAATAAATTACTAAAAGAGATGTTAGAGTTAATTTAGAGATTTTAAATACATAAGAAAATGATGATAATTTAGATATTTAATTGTGGAAGGATAGAGTGATATTTGTAATTTTTTATAAGAGTAAAATAGTGAGTCAAAAGTTTTTTATGTTCATGTCACTACAACAAAAATCATTTTTTTGCGATTTTTTTTTTTGCGACAATTTTAAATTTGTCACAAAAAAGTTTACTATTCTCGACGATTTTCTAATTTTATCGCAAATTTCTATTTTGGTAAATTTTTTTGTGACGTTTTCTTAAAAACGTCGCGAAAAGACAGTTCCTTCCTAATTGTTTTTTGCAAGAGAAATGGTGGGAATTGACATTTTTTTATGACAAAAATTTTTCGTCGCAAATAGTTTTATTTCGTTGCAAAATAAATAATCTAAAATTTAAAGTAAAATAAATTCTAATTTCTATTTTGGCATTTTTTAGCGATGTTTTTTTAAAAACGTCGCGAAAAGGTAATTCCCTCCTAAATGTTTTTGGCGGGAGAAATTGCGGGAATTGGTAAATTAAATAAAAAAATAATAATTTAATTAATTTTTTGCGAAGTTTTTAAAAAAACGTCGCAAATAAATTTTTCCGTAACTAAAAAATTTAAAAAATAATAATTTAATTAATTTTTCGCGACGTTTTTTAAAAAAGCTCGCAAATAAATTTTTACGTAAATAAAAAATTTAAAAAATAATAATTTAATTAATTTTTCGCGACGTTTTTTAAAAAAGCTCGCAAATAAATTTTTACGTAACTAAAAAATTTTAAAAATAATAATTTAATTAATTTTTCGCTATGTTTTTAAAAAAAAAACATATCAAATAAATTTTTACGTAAATAAAAAATTTAAAAAATAGTAATTTAATTAATTTTTTGAGACATTTTTAAATTTGTCACAGAATTTAAATTTTATAATTTTAAATCAAAATTAAAAGTTTAACTGCGACGTTTTATTTTTTGTCGCAGAATAGGGTTTTTTAAAGAACAAAACAATTAATCTCTCAGTGCCACTCTCTTCTATCTCAGCGCCACTCTCTTCGATTTCCCTTCTCAGCGCCACTCTCTCTGTCTCTCGAATCCTCCTCCCCATCTGTCTTTTCTCTCTCTCTCTTGATTTCTACTGTGCTGCATTGAGATTAACCGAGAAGCATCCCTCGTTGTTGGAATCTTTAGGCAATCGAAGTCTCAAAGTTCTGTCCAAGAAAGATTTTGAATTTATGTTCTCTAGGAATGTCACACATGTCTGTCACGTTAAAAGCTGGTACATGCACTTGCTTGTGGGTGCATCTTTGCAGTTATATGTTTTTGTTTCCATTGAAGTTTCTAGTTGCTTGTTGGGAAGGGTTTTGAAAGAAATGTAGTGCCAGCAGCATGCCTGTAAAGGCTACAGCAAAGCAATCTGTTGAGCCAAATAATCAAAGAAACAGGTAACTTAGACACCAATTGGTAGCATTTCATACGAAAATATTTTGCTTTTGAGTGGTAGAATTACTTTGAACATTAGATTCCTCATATTCATATCTTGGATGAAACAAAAAAGTTGTCTATATTGTTCCACAATATTTTTTCTCCAGATTGTCAAATGATGGAGAAAGGAAAAACATGCATTTTGAAGACACAACATCAGCTGCTGAAGCAGGTGCTGAGTGCACAAAAAAAGCAATTGCTGCTGCCAAAGCTGCTGCCTATCTAGCGGGTAAAGGCTCTTATCAGGTCACTCAAGCATCTGGTAATTGTAATTGCGTGACCAGTTATGAATTTGAAAACAGTTGTGGCAATTCTACCGGCAAGTTTATGCCATATGGGTTCCAAGAAAACCACCAGATTCTGGACGATCAATCTAAGGTCCCAAGGAGGATTAAGAGACAGATCCTTGGATGCCATATGCTCTATAATGGACACACCACTAGTGGTCTACTAGTTTCTGCAACCAATATCTAGAATATCACTTGCGTGGGATCAAGGTTTTTGAAAGATTTTGTTGAGCTGTGTGAGAAATGAAAGCAGTTGTTAAATGTTAGAGCTGGTACTAACGACAAACCAAATAAGGGAAAGTTCTATGTAGCATCTGGTTTGCATGGCATACTTTTTGTCATTTTCTTGTAGGAGGTTTCACAAATTTCAATCAATGAGGTTAAAACGACAGATGGTGCATGTTACTTGGAATTGAAATTACCATCTAGATCAAGATTTCAAGAAGGCTTCTGGGATTTTTTGGCTAAGTATGGTTTTCAATATGGTTCTAATTACAGTCGGCCTTTACTTCATTCTGCGGTTGGCTTCTTTCTTTTATTTTCAATTCATCTCTGGTAATTGGTAGTTTATATTGGCTGTGATCATGGCTTGCAATTTATTCATGGTGGTTAACCTTTTCTTTTCTTTTCTTTGCATCTCCCTAGCAAAATGTATTTTTTGGCCCCGGGTGGAGGGGCTGAAAACTAGAGCAAGCTTGTTTCTCTTGACCTGGGAAACAACTTTTTTTTTGGGTAAGCTATTGTGAATTAATTAACCCAATGCTGGAAATCCATGGAGCAATTTAGAAATAAGTGATTTCTAGAATGTTTAAACTTCACATGGTAAAACTAAGATGCCCAACTTGTTATGAGCTATGGTATGTGGGATTGAGTACTTTTGAGTGTCAGTGTGTTTCTAGGTTTCAGTACATTTGTTACTAATTATGGAGAACTTCTTTAAATCATCCAATGAGACGAGATATGATGATTTTTTGTTACATTTTTTTGTGCTGAGTTTTCATTTGTTTATTTTATCGTTTTGCAGCCTATCCGAAATCAGAAAATCCACTGGAGATCTATGGAAGGTCTCCCTAACAGGTAATAAATTGTTTGATAGATACACATAACATGAATAAACAAGGACAAACTGGTTGTGTTAACTGCTTAACTTTGTTAGGATCAGTGAGTAAATTTCATTTCCTCCCTTTAACAATGCAAGCACACGACTACAACACAACACTTTGTACTTCTTGCTACTGCCACCTTATTCTTCCCTGCTTATAAGCTAATGCCACCTTATGTTGCTGTAAGCAGGAGGAATGCAACATGGAGGTTGCCAAAAGCAGCTATAATTCCTAACTTCAATCTCCCAATGTGTAGTTTTGAAGTTAAAAACAGGTAAGCTAGCATCTCCTACTTTCTCTTTTTCCACTTTGAATCTTTTGTATTTTGGTGTTTACATTTAAGAAAACAAATTAGGCTGGTTGATTTAAATTTTACTTTTAGGAGTGGGTAAATTATTAATCCTAGATGTACATTAAATCCAGATAAAATACTGAGATCAACAGATTTTTTGAACTAGTTATAGATCTAAAAAATGTTTCCATCTCATTTAGGGATAGAATCTGTTCAACATGGCTATGGCTGTGGTTAACTGTGGCATGTTCTGTTTTGAAAGCTTGAGCACCTCTGTTTTTCTTCTATATGCAGGACTTCTACAGAGAACATAAAGTCTCTTAGATTGATAACTGCCATCAAAACCCCGTATCTACTAGATGGGAGATTTGATCTCGAGGCATATGATGCCTTGGTGAACATGTAAATTGAAAATGGAGCTGAGGGAGTGATTGTCGGTGGCACTACCAGTGAAGGCCAGTTGATGAGCTGGGATGAACACCTCATGCTAATTGGTCACACAGTCAACTGTTTTGGTGGATCTATCAAGGTCATTGGAAACACGGGAAATCCAAAAGTTTGTGGAAAACCCTCTCGGAGGGCACTTGGAGTGAGACATTTGATGGTTTAGGGATATCTTAAATGTAATTAGAGATGGTTTAAATCCTCTTGAAGGATTAAAGCCATTTTTTCTATTTTTAGAATTTCATGTTTTTTGATTCTTGTAATTCATTCTTTTTGGAAATAATTTTTTTTTTTAAAAGATATGAAATGTATTAATTGTATTAGTTTTATATTGAACACATGTATTATTGGTGTACAGGTAAAATTTTTTATTGGAATATCATTTTTTATAAATTATTCTTTTTAAAATCGTCGCGCAACATTGTTATTCAATTATTTTTTACATTTTTATTTATGTACAAAATTATTAGCGACGATTTTTTTATGTCGCAAAAAATTAATTAAATTATTATTTTTTATATTTTTATTTATGTAAAAAATTATTAGCGATGGTTTTTTTACGTTGCGAAAAATGAATTAAATTATTATTTTTTATATTTTTATTTATGTAAAAAATTATTCGTGACGACTTTTTTACGTCGCGAAAAATTAATTAAATTATTATTTTTTATATTTTTATTTATAAAAAAAATTATTCGCTACGATTTTTTTACATCGCAAAAAATTAATTAAATTATTATTTTTTATTTTTTTTACGTTGGTGTAATAGATTTTAGCTATGTTTTTTTAACTTTTCGAAACGTTTTTTTTTTGTCGCAATTTTTTTTTTTTTGCAATAAAAATAAATTTGTGTCGCAAAATACTTTCTGCGACGAACACGCGACGAAAAAAAAATGTCGCGAAAAATTATTTGCGACGATTTTTTTTGATTTAGCGATGAAAAAAATCGTCGCAAAAAATGATTTTTGTTGTAGTGTGTACTTTTTATTAATAAGTATAGACATCCACTTTTTGTGTTTAATAAGATTCGAACTTAAGACCTCTCAATTAAAAGGTCAAGTGGATGACTGATATGTAATTGCGAGATTGTAAGAAAAGTTAGGTTATAATACGACATGAGTTTTTTTGTTTTTTATAGAGTATACATGCATGTTTGTGTCGATTATTCCCTCAAGTTCAACAGCTGACCGCTATAGCTTGATTTACACAATCAACTTTTCTAGTATAGTTCTTCGTTAAGTTATATAGCTAGTTTTTAACGCCAAGAGTAAATTTAGGGAGTCCTCTGACACATTTGTATGGGGGATAGATTTGTTCACGTGGTCTTTTGATTAATGCAATGCTTACCCAAGGTGATCCGTTTGTATGTGTAATTCATTATCTAATGTTCCGTTTAATAGGAATGATAAAAAATAAAAAGAATAGAAAGTAAGAGGAATACACTGTTATTGTTACACCATTATATTATTTGAATATTAAATAAATTAATTTAAAAATAAAACCACTTTCAAAAAAAAAAAAAAAACGCATGAATCAAAGTGTATTAAATATAATTTGAAAACAAAATCACTTTCAAAAAAAAAAAAATTTGCATGAATCAAGGTGCATTAAAAATAATTTAAAATTTAAATAAGAGATTTAACANAACAAAATCACTTTCAAAAAAAAAAAAATTTGCATGAATCAAGGTGCATTAAAAATAATTTAAAATTTAGATAAGAGATTTAACAATAAATGTATATTTTTTCGCTGCTCAGATTACTTCACAATTTTTGATCTAACGGTCCTCATCATAACCATTTTAAAAAAAATCTTGTCTGCCGAGACTCCTCCTTTAACTCTTTCTCATTTTTAAAAACAAATAACCTATCTAATCCTATCTATCGAGACTCCTCCTCTGATTCTCTCTTATTTTTAAAAACAAATAACCTATCTAATCCCTTATCTCAATTGCTAACTCACCCACAGACCTCTAACAAGTCTAACTATCTCATGATACCCTCCTCTCTCCCCTTCCTCTCTGTCTCTACCTTGCCCCTGCAACACATAACACACCGGAGTAACATCCACTGCAACAGGCAACACCAGGAGTCCAAGTATTCTGGGTTTTGTGTGTGTGTGTGTGTATTCTGGGTTTGTTGTGTCTTTGTGTTCTGACTTTCTTAAATTATCTCCTTCTTTCTCTTTCTCTATCTCGCTCTCTCTTTCTCTGTGTTCTAGGTTTTTTGTGTGTGTGTGTGCATATGTGTTCATTTTCTGCCTCCTGTGAACTGTGCTTAATCGAACTTTGTATTATCGAAGCAGCTTGCCTATATCTGACAACAACTCGGTTTTGTACAATGCAATCTATAATTTTTATTAAGTATTTCTGAATTTGATTTTGGAACAGCATCTTCGCCTTCTCACAGAACTGCCTCTTGGTGGATTGCTCTCACATTTCGATTATTAAAACCCTACGAGAGAGGGGTATATATGTATGAGAGTAAATAAGTAGACCAAAAATAGAAGCAATAAATTGATTACGAATGCAAATTATAGCTTTCTATGAAAACTGGCTAGACCCACATCCAATTCTTCCCTCATCGGAAGAAAAGCTTCAAATGACCCCAATCTGTGTATACATGCAAATATATAGATATTCATATGCATTTCTATTCTGAAGAGAGAGAGAGGGGGGGGGGGGGGAGTAACCAGTGATCATAGACTAGGGATTGACATTTCCATGGTGTGAAATAATCCTCGAAGAATTGGAGATTATGAAATGATCCAATAGGACACGTGGCCTTATGGGTATTTGAGATTGTTCAATATTGATCCCAGTTCGCTGTGGAACAGAGAACATCCATGGTGGCGAACCAGAGACAGAGATGAGAAGGCAACATTCTGAGAAAGAGGGAACTCAAAGGACAAAAATAGTTTTATAGGCCTCACATTTAAGAAAAATTTATTTTACAGAAATTTTTATTCCTCAGTCTCTCCTATGAATTTAATTCAGGAATATCAATCGATTGACATTTAATTTCTTCGAATTTAAATTTTGTATTAAATTTCGGATTTAAATATGATTTATATTAATCTAATCACCATCACCATTTTTTTGTGAGTGAATGTTATGTGTTAAATGTGTATTGTTATTTTCAGTACTTTTTTATTCAAAATTTGCAGTTTTGACATGATTTTATTATTGTTAAATATTATGTGTGAAATAGGCTATTGCTATTTTCGGTACTTCTTAGTCATACATTTGTATGATTTTATAGAAGAAAAAATATTTAAATGTTAAAAAAAATTCATAGACATTCAAAACCAAACTAATCACAAAAATCCAAAAATTCAAAACCAAGCTAATTGCCAATAAAAAAAAAAATAAATGAAACCAATTGCACCAAAAAATAATATTCAAAATCAACTATAATTTTTTTTTCAAGTCGTAGACATTCAAACTAAAGCTAATCATTGATAAAAAAAATGACAAAGTTAAATATTTGAGTAATTTTATAGGAAGAAAAAAATTTTGAATGCTAAAAAAAAAAATTCCAAGTTGTAGACATGCAAAGTCAAGTTGCACCATAAAAAAAAAAAAAAAAAACAAAGCCAAGCTAATCACCAATAAAAAAATAATAAGTGATACCAATTGCATCAAAAAAACAAAAAAAAAAAATTCAAAGCCCAAGCTAATAGCAATAAAAAAAATAATAAGTAATTGAATTTATAATTATATTGTGTTATTCGGTTGAATGGTGATAAATTCATACGTCTTATAAATGAGTAAGATTTTATATTACTTAAAAATTATAAATGTTATTAGATTTCATTAGTATTTTTTTCCCGATGTATTTGTATGTGTGATATTGTATTGAGAATTTTTTTTATACATTTTTGGGATAGTTCTATTAATATGAAAGATATGATCGACAATATATTTTGGGTTATTTTAAAAGAATTGATATGAATGTTTTTGACCCACTTTTTTTTTTAAGATGGTCAATTATTTGCGATTTTTTATGGGTTATATAGTGCTTTCAGGCATGGGCAATGACTAGTATATAATAAAGTAGAATGAAGTTTAAATCCAAAAGATAAAGAGAGGTCCAGATCGTTTTGAGATAAAATATAAACACATCCAACGGATAATGTAATCTCAACATAAATGACGGTTCAGATCATTTCAAAAAATTTGATCTAACGGTATACAGTGAATACTGATTTTTTTTTTCCCGCCCGGCAACATTTCCTTTTTAAATTTTGATTATGTAATCCTAATTAATATTTGAATTTATTTTTACCCGTTCAAAAATTTGAATAAATCTTTTTTCTGATATACAACTTTAAACTCCTATTACTCATATACTTCTCTCTCACACTCATGTGATGCCTCCCTCCCTCAGTCTCTCTCAGTCATGCCTATTTTCTCTCTCTCTCTCTCTCTCTCTACGCAAAAAACACACATAAAAACACTTGCACACACAAACCGTTGCTGACTCTCTCCACTGCTATTTTTCTTTATCACCCCTAGCCCCTAGCAACCATGGTTTTGAAAATCGGCTGTTACGTAAGGCCACCGATTCCGTTACACTCCCGATTTTCTGTAAGAATGGATTTCACATCTGTAACGGCCTGTAACGGAGCATAACGGCTTATAACGGCCGATAAATGTGAAGTCGGACCGATACGGACTGTTGCAAACCAAGAAGCCATGTGAATAACAAAGCACAAATTTGTCGGACTTTTCACCTCCGTTTTACCACATTAATTAGATTGAACACCTACCGGAAAAGTCTCACTTCACCGATGACAATGGCAATGTCCTTCAAGGTTTGGAGGTCCATCTAGGCTTCGTCGGAGTCGATGAATACTATGATTTACAGGGCCTGTCACCGAACTGATACTGGGACTTCCATTGTTAATGGAGTTGTCATGGGAGAATGGAATTGCAAGAGTTTTGAGGAGATAGAGGAGAAGAGAAAGAGGTGGAAATTTGAAATGAAGTAAACAGAGAGAAGGAGTGGGGAAACCTAGGCGCCTGGGCGGAGAAGACAAAGCAACTGGGTATGGGTTCTCTATTTTTTTTTTCTATCAAACCATTGAAGCTGCTACATTACTATTTTATTCAAGCCCATCATTAATGGGCTAATTGTTTTTTGAGTAAATGGGCTAACAATATTCTTACTTTTCTTCAAATTTTTATTTTACACAACCCATAGTATAAATATTAGTGACTTTGATCATTTTTGAAAGATTATATAATGATACCATCAATACAAACATGTCTATATGATTTTAGTGATTATTAAATATTCATATTGACTTGATTTTAGAGAAGAAACATGCAAAAATATATTTTTAGGTGAGGTGTGAGTTGAAAAAAAAAATTCAGATATTCAATTTCTGTTACTGTTACGTAACGCCCGATATGACTCATGTTACTGTTACCGATACGACGACCGTTACCGTTATTCAGAACCATGCCAGCAACCCCCTTCTTTTACTTGCAGTAACTCAAGAATCCATTTCGGAGATCTGTGTATAAATGTCTGATTTTTATCTGATGGGTGCTTTTTGTTTTTGTTATAAATGTCTGATTTTTTTTTTTTTAACAGTATCAAAATTCACCTTAGCAAATTTCAGTTGTTAATATCGTTTTAGAGGACATCCTTTCGTCTACGCCCCGAATGGCTCTCAGTTTCTATTGCTATGCTTCCTTTAAAACACGACTGCAAGGTGTGTGTGTGTGAATACACATTTCATTCCTCTGTTTTTTCAATCACAGCTCAGCTCAATCACACGGCAACAACAAAGGCCTTGAAAAAGTGAAAAACCTTGTAACAAAGACCGGAGTTCCTTCGACCACAACTTCCCCACACGAATCCCTCCAAAGAGGCAACTGGGTTAAGCTCATTTGTGGTGCGAACTTCGAGGTACCTTATCAATTCAATCCCTCCAACACCACCACCTTGAACCTCTCACTTTCCACCGTCTTCTTCAAGTGACTCTTTTAACTCTCTCTCTCTAGGATGTGGTTGATATCAGGAATCTTTCTCTGGTGTACACTCTAGCTGGAGGTAAGAAACTCCATGAAGTTTGAACTGTTGGCTTTATAATATTTGTTTTAATCCACTGTGTTTGAAATGTAATTTAGTTTTGAAATTATTTCTATACTAATGATTGTAGTTGATTACATTGATTGCGCTGCCGATGCATCGGTGGTGAGTTTGGTGAATGAAGGGATTGAAGCAGCAATAGGTATTGTACCCGTTAGAAGGCCTTGATTTCACAGACTCGTGGAAGGCTAAAAAGACTCAACAGTTCTCTTGGTGGCTGAGTGAAATGACTTGGTTTACTTCTATTGGTAAATGTTACAATTTCATTATTGACCGATGTTTCGAAATATGGAATATTCAAACTAAATAATTCTTATTTATGTGGATTTAGTTTTTTGGTTGGACTTTATTACATGTGGCTATGACTTTTGTAATTATAATATAAATATTATTTTGGTTTTGATTATGTAGTGAATAAAATTTGATGTTGTCTTTGAGTTAGGTTGAATAATTTATTCTTGAGATTGGATATGCAATGATTTGTGTTGGGAGATTGAATAGTTTGTGTTTGGCAATAATAATGCAATTGATGTCACCGTAGACAGATTGAGATTTTCTTGAGTTCTTTTCAAAGAAAACTTTGTTGAAATTTTTTGAAAAAATAGTGGAGGTTATATTTATTTCGATTTTTTTTATAATTCAAGCAAATGAAGGAAAAATTATTTTAAATTAATTTTTAAGTTACAAAGTGCCTTTAGGCACAAGTTATTACTAGTACGTATATATAAGTGATTTAACAATAAGTATATATAAATATATATATATACGTATTTATATGTATTAACAAAAACACATGAATCAAGGTACATTAAAGATAAGAGATTTTGAATTAAATAACTCTAAAATGAACATTTATGTCTTTGTAACTCAGCTGTGTATTTTTTTTCAAAATATTTTATTCTATGTATTTTTTGTCAAATAAATCTAATTAGGTGTATCGACTTCTAAAGAACCTTACTATATAATACTAAAAATAATATATTAATTTTATAATATTTATTTTAAATAATAATTTAATTATGTAATTTAAAATTATAATCAAGAGAGAGAAAAGAGAGATAAGTTTAAATTGATGAGATTTTTTGAAAAATGTGTTGATGTATCGATTGAGTTATTTGACATTAAAAACCGTACACAAAAGATAATATTTTTGAGCGTAAAATAAAATTTGGAATTAAGTTTATACTATTAGATCAAAGTAAAAAAAAATTGAATTAATTAATCTTATTATGCTTTTATAACTTAAAATTTTAACTTACTAGCTGTAAACACCTAATAGATGGTTGAGCCTAGCTTTAAGAGAAAGAAGGATGTGAGTCGTGTTAACTCATGTTAACTAGCGACTTGAGTAATAATTTTAAAAGATGGTTTAAAGAACTAAAATAAGGTNATTCTTGAGATTGGATATGCAATGATTTGTGTTGGGAGATTGAATAGTTTGTGTTGGGCAATAATAATGCAATTGATGTCACCGTAGACAAATTAAGATTTTCTTGAGTTCCTTTCAAAGAAAACTTTGTTGAAATTTTTTGAAAAAATAGTAGAGGTTATATTTATTTCGATTTTTTTTATAATTCAAGCAAATGAAGGAAAAATTATTTTAAATTAATTTTTAAGTTACAAAGTGCCTTTAGACACAAGTTATTACTAGTATGTATATATAAGTGATTTAACAAAAAGTATATATAAATACATATATATATATATATATATATATATATACGTATTTATATGTATTAACAAAAACACATGAATCAAGGTGCATTAAAGATAAAAGATTTTGAATTAAATAACCTTAAAATGGGCATTTATGTCTTTGTAACTCAGCTGTGTATTTTTTTTCAAAATATTTTGTTCTATGTATTTTTTGTCAAATAAATCTAATTAGGTGTATCGACTTCCAAAGAACCCTACTATATAATACTAAAAATAATATATTAATTTTATAATATTTATTTTAAATAATAATTTAATTATGTAATTTAAAATTATAATCAAGAGAGAGAAAAGAGAGATAAGTTTAAATTGATGAGATTTTTTGAAAAATGTGTTGATGTATCGATTGAGTTATTTGACATTAAGAACCGTACACAAAAGATAATATTTTTGAGCGTGAAATAAAATTTGGAATTAATTTTATACTATTAGATCAAAGTAAAAAAAAATTGAATTAATTAATCTTATTATGCTTTTATAACTTAAAATTTTAACTTACTAGCTGTAAACACTGGTTGAGCCAAGCTTTAAGAGAGAGAAGGATGTGAGTCGTGTTAATTCATGATAACTAGCGACTTGAGTAATAATTTTAAAAGATGGTTTAAAGAACTAAAATAAGGTTAACGTTAATAATTGTTAGACGAGTATATATCTATTACACTTCATTAATCGTACCTTCCATTAGTTTTCTCTGATCAAAGTTTTTTCTGCAAAAAATGCAGGAGGATATGGAGTTTATAGCAGCGTTCGGGTTTTAATCTGGGTATCTGAGTCAGACCATAAACTAAATATAAAAAGAAAAGTATTCCCAAGTGTTCCGTGAGAATTCAGATAAAGACGTCACTTTGCTGATTGTGGCCGGGTTTCATCAGCAATCTCTGCAGTCGTCAAGCAATATCTTCTCGACTTGCATGGCATGCAGCTTATGACACGTTGTGAATTTGACTTTAATTTGCTCTACCATGCATTTGGAGATCCATCGGTTACCCTAAATAGTGTTTGACGTCATCGAAACTGGTTCACTTTAGCAAAACCCTTGAAATTATTGAATTGGCCAAGCCATCCACGTAGGCTTGTCACGTGTACACAACTCCTAACCGAAAACAATGTAGAATATTATCATTACGGTACAATTGTGGGCTGCAGATTTCTGCCAATTTTGTAGGCAGCAGAAAACAAAAGTATGGTACCTATTTTTAAACTTCTCTTTTGTTGCGTTTGGTCGGAATAACAAAAAGGATCGTGGATGAAAAATAAAATTGATATATTTTTTATTTTTTAAAAAAAGAAGTAAAAAGGATATATTTTTTTTCTTTTATATTTGGTAGTATAGATGAAAAATAAAAATATATATATTTTTTTTTGTATTGACTAAGATTAAGGGTGATAATCGAGTCGTGTTTGTGTTAGGTTTGTGTTGAGTCATTGTGGGTTTGTGTCAAACATCAATCAAATCCAATTCAACTCATTTAACTAATTGTGTCGTGTCAAATTGATCTATTTATTTTCATGTAGTATTCGTATTAATCTACATAAACTTTGAATAAAAAATTTAACTCTAATATTTTATTTTCACTTAATTGAATTTATGTTAAATATATTAATTTCGTGTTACCATACAAATGGAAAAATAAATAAAGTGTTTATTTTTAAATAAACGGATTGATGATGTCAATTTTAAATATCAGGGTTGAACCGAATATGAGCCATTTATTTGTGGCACCAGCTTACAGTATTTGTCTCTCTTGTGGAAGGAATATAATGACGTCATTAGACTTGTCTAAGTCGTATTATAGGAATGTATGCCTTGGTCAATGGATCAAATAGCAATAAATTATTGTTGAAAATTACTTGAATTTTTGTCCAATGTTCACATGCTACACTCTTGAATTACAGATGATTTCTCATGTTTTTTTTTTCTATGATTCTGCAGGTTTTTTTCTCTTCAGATGATCTCTCATCCTCTCACACTAGTTATGTTTGATGAAGTGTCGGTATAACTTTTTTTTTTTTATTTTGAAATTTCAGAGTTACCAATTTTTTTATTCGATTTTTTGTAAGTTTCACTTGAAGGCGATCTATAATAAAGACAATGGAATGATTAGGAAAAAGGAAATGGAGAATGGTCACCCATTATTTTCTAATTTTTAAACTGTGTCTTAAGCACTTATACATNGTAAGTTTCACTTGAAGGCGATCTATAATAAAGACAATGGAATGATTAGGAAAAAGGAAATGGAGAATGGTCACCCATTATTTTCTAATTTTTAAACTGTGTCTTAAGCACTTATACATTCTAAGTAAAGTTAGGCCCTCATTGGTTTTGTTAAAACATGGGGGGAAGCAATATTCTATCTAAGGGAGTCAAAATCTGAAATAAAAAAAATTCACAGATGCCACCATATACGGCACCAACCAACTCTAATGATACTTACTACTACTGGCAGCCACCACCACAAGCTTTCCCAGTAGAATGTCCCCAAAGTGGATCACACTTGCACTATTTTTCTCTCTCTTTTGAAAAGAATACAAATATATAACGATGTTGTTAGACTTGTCAAGCCATATTAATGTAGTGCCTTGGGTAAATGGAGGTGGGGTTGTAACGATTTCGTTTGATAATAATTACTTTAACAATAGTAAAACTTGGGCAGCAAGATTAAGGACCCCTTCTATTTGTGGTCACATCTCCTTATATAATAGCGAGAAATTATACTAAAAAATTATTTGAATTTTTGTCCAATGTTCATATGCTACACTCCTGAACTTCAGATGTTCTCTCATTTTTATTTTCTATCACTCTGTGCCGGTTCTTTCTTCTTTAGATGATCTCTCATCCTTTCACGCTAGTAATGGTTGATGTAGTCTCCATACATCTTTCTTCTAAAGAATAATTCATAAAACGATTTTTTATCAGTTCCTTTTTTCCCGAAATTCTAGCGTTACCCAATTTTTTTGTTTGGTTCTTGTTAAGTCTCAGTTAAAGGCATCTATAATAAAGACAATGGATGAGTGAAATCAATAGGGAAAAAAGACATGGAGAATGGTCACCTATCCTTTCTAAGTTTTAAACTGACCCTAAAGCACTTACTAAAAATAAATTTATTAGAGCTTAAGATACAACACAACGGTTTTGGAGCGACCTGTTTGTGTGAATAAACCTCACAGAGTGTGACCAAACAAAGAGGTTCAGCCAATTAAAACCATTTTAACACTAACAAAGGTTTTAGAGAGAGTAGGGAGATGTGAACTTAGTAACGAGATAGAAGACACTCATCTAACTGAGTTTAGGGGTTAAGATGACTAGTATCGTGAAGATAATTAACCAAAAAATAATATATAGCATTTTATATTCCAATCACCTTTTGGAGGTGGGTGGGTGCTTATAAATAACACACTTCAGTCATCAGAATTTCACATCCCCCTCTTGTTTCTAGCTCCCACTCTCACCAACCTCCCTTGCCATTTCCGTTCTTCTCTTCCTCAAGAGACTGAATCTCTGGTCAGTTCCATTTTCTCTTCCTCAATAGACCCAATCTCTGCTCAGTAGTTCCTTATTTATCTCTCAAAATCTCTGTCCAGAGACAGTTTTTGTTTCCTAAGTATCCTCAAATGGAGCCCCAAAATGTGTGCTTTCAAAAATATCTGTCGGATAGGGATGTCTATGGCAACCTGGAAATTCCCAACGGGACAGATAATTTGCCGGACGGAAATGAGATTATGCGTGTTACTGACCGAGACGGAACTACGTACGAATTCATAGCCTCTGTAAGGGCAAATGGACGGCGTTCTCTGACACGTCATTGGCGATCGTTCGCAGTGGATAAGGGTCTTCGAACAGGTGAGTTATTACGGATTTATCGGTTAAATGGAAATGGAAATGATTATGCCGTGCAGGTTGGCCTTGAATTTCATGGATTGTACATACTGTGGGAAACTATGTAAAAGTTCCACGGTGCAAAATTCTGTGGTTGGTTGGATATCACAAAAATGAGGCCAAAGCATATGGGTCTGATGTAGATTCAAGTTTAATACCGGCAACTAGTTTCTGTTTATATTTCTTGTGAAAAAGCTGAAAATCTTGTAAAATGTATGGATTTAAGTTTGAATTTACTCTTTTACTTCATCTTCAAGCAGCAGTGATGCATCACATCCCTAAAGGTGCTTCATATATTGTATGTATGTGAAGGTTCACAAAAAAAGTCTTTGTTTTTCACTGCATAAAATTTTGTGATTCGATATCAAAAATGAGGAAGAACTTTTCATTTCTATGAATAAACATGTTTGACGGGAATGCCGGCGATCAGTTCGTGCATGAGTTTCTTTGGATCAAAACCCATCTGAATTTGCTTCTTCAAATGGGTGTTCCAGTAGTTCTTAATTTCATTGTCTGTCCTTCCTGGTAGGCAAGTTGCAATTGCAGACCACCTTGTTTGAAATGAAAATTGTCAAAATCAGTATATATGGTTTGAGAAGAATCCTCAACATGAGAGAGAGAAAGAGAGAGAGAGAGAGAGAGAGAGATGCGGGAGGGCTCTCCAGCTTCCATGGCCATGTTCTTGGATGTGTTTTTGGCCTTCTTTCTGGAGTCCAAGGGCCTTTCTTGAAACCAACACAATTTTGGTTTACAAATGCTCAATCAATAACAGGATTAGGTTAGATAAACTGGTAGACCGACTTGACCTATCAGTGAATAAAGTGTTTACACTTGAATTTCAAAACCCATCTGAATTTGCTTCTTCAAATGGGTGTTCCAGTAGTTCTTAATTTCATTGTCTGTCCTTCCTGGTAGGCAAGTTGCAATTGCAGACCACCTTGTTTGAAATGAAAATTGTCAAAATCAGTATATATGGTTTGAGAAGAATCCTCAACATGAGAGAGAGAAAGAGAGAGAGAGAGAGAGAGATGCGGGAGGGCTCTCCAGCTTCCATGGCCATGTTCTTGGATGTGTTTTTGGCCTTCTTTCTGGAGTCCAAGGGCCTTTCTTGAAACCAACACAATTTTGGTTTACAAATGCTCAATCAATAACAGGATTAGGTTAGATAAACTGGTAGACCGACTTGACCTATCAGTGAATAAAGTGTTTACACTTGAATTTCAAAACCCATCTGAATTTGCTTCTTCAAATGGGTGTTCCAGTAGTTCTTAATTTCATTGTCTGTCCTTCCTGGTAGGCAAGTTGCAATTGCAGACCACCTTGTTTGAAATGAAAATTGTCAAAATCAGTATATATGGTTTGAGAAGAATCCTCAACATGAGAGAGAGAAAGAGAGAGAGAGAGAGATGCGGGAGGGTTCTCCAGCTTCCATGGCCATGTTCTTGGATGTGTTTTTGGCCTTCTTTCTGGAGTCCAAGGACCTTTCTTGAAACCAACACAACTGGTAGATCAACTCGACCTATCAGTTTGGATCAAAAAAAAAAAAACTTGAGCTATCAGTGAATAAGGTGAGGAACAATCTTTTGTTTGATCTATATATATTTTGCCGTAAAATTAGATGATTGAAGCGGTAGATATCAAAGCATCTAATATGTAATGATCGCATGTATTGCACAAAGCTTTCAATACACCATAGTCGTCTAGTCAGCTAGACATGTCTTTTCTCATCTTTTTTCTTTCAATTATTTTTTAAAAATTATGAACTTTCGTGGTTGCACCTCATTTTTCTTTTGTGGTTTATTGTAAGTTTTATCAAGTCATACTACTTAATGGAGCTGTTTTAATGTTTTGAATGGGCCTTCTATTCTCTGTGATGTGCTTTGCTGAATGCTAATGATGGAAAGTTGGAAGATTCAAACATTTAAATGTCTTTATATATCCCCCAACACTTGCCTGGATAGAAGGTGCTTTATATTATTCTGATGGCCAGTTGCTTATGTATATTATTTTAGACTTAAAAATATGACTTTATTTTTTTGTATGATGATATATCAAATGATATGATCACAACAAAGACGTCTAACAATTACAACTAGAAAGTGGCCACCGTCACCAAAAAAAAAAAGTGTTTTGGAGGAATTTTTTTTTTTTTTTTTGGGTGAGGGTAGTACTGTCATAAAAAAATTATTTGGGGCTGTAAATACGATCATTGCCGCCACAAAGATTTTTTGAGACTCCACTTATTAAGTTAATGAATTAAGTCAAATTTTTGGATAAAACTATCAACTCATTGTTTGTTAGATAGACTGCTCATTTGGTATAATACAATTCATCTTATAAGACCTTTAATTACATTGGTTAAACTATACTTTGCATTCCCAAAAAAATAGTATTGATCTTATTCATCTCTTTATTAGGAGTAACTCATGTCTGAAGACACGATAAATGAGAAATAATGAATTTAAGTGGGGAATTCAATGTTAATTGTTTTGAGAGGGATGTTGGTGACCGTTAAATGAATTTATTTAAGACCGTCAGATAGACGTATTGAAGTTTGCCTTATTTTAAAATATAAAAATTGTTGAGTTTCTTGCATTGCTCCCTCAAGTACTTGTGTTGATTTAAATCGCATTAAAGTGGAGCGTTCATTAATTATCTAAAGAACAATATTTACATGTCGTTGGACTTTGGAACAAAGTTTAACAAAATCACATACTTCAGGAGCAAAGTTACCAAACTTTACTATTCAATTAATTACCAACATTCGCAATTTAGACAATGCAAAACCAATTCAAATGATTGAGGATATCATGTGAGAAATTGGACGTTGTGAGTTAATGGAATAGTTGGGGGGTCAAATTATAATTTTTTGCATTAATTAACAAAAAATTCATACATCATATGGCTCTATAACTAAACCATCATCTGAGTTCAACAGTTCATAACAACCCACTCAAGCTGCAAAAAGAGGAAGAAGATAATGGCTCTTTTTTCAGCCGTTTTAAGTTGCTTCATGCCGTCATCATCGTCAAGGGTCTCTGATGATGCCATCAGCCACCATGTGAAAGGACCTTCCGCCGCTGAACCCAAAGCAAAAGGCAATTCAAGCTCATCTGGGGCTCCCATTCCGGTTTCTTACTTCCCCATCACCTCACATCTCCCTCGATTGTAATTTGGGAAGTATGTGCTTTATGGGCTGTTGCCTGTTTCTTCAGCACCCTGAGCTTATGGTCGGTAATGGGTCATGTTATGATGAGTTCGTTTTGTATTTGTATGGTGCCTTGTAAAACTTTATTAAATAATACTCAACTTAACTTGTAGTNCTTCAGCACCCTGAGCTTATGGTCGGTAATGGGTCATGTTATGACGGGTTCGTGTTGTATTTGTATGGTGCCTTGTAAAACTTTATTAAATAATACTCAACTTAACTTGTAGTATATGATCAGATTCATTTCGATCGATTTACTAAAAAGGTTTGGCTGACCAACTTTGTTCTAATCTGAACTCAATTTGATCAATCCACTGATTATTTCCACATGATCAATCCTGATATCTCGAGATCATGAATAATCACACAGAAAATTAACTTCAAATTGATCAATGCCAGCTCCTTTCTGTGGGTTTATTTTTCATTTTATTAAGGTAAATGTTTGTGTTCTCAATTGACTTGGAAATCAAAGTAGAATTTTCATGCCCAAATGACATAAATAACGTGACACTTCNGAATTGATCAATGCCAGCTCCTTTCTGTGGGTTTATTTTTCATTTTATTAAGGTAAATGTTTATGTTCTCAATTGACTTGGAAATCAAAGTAGAATTTTCATGCCCAAATGACATAAATAACGTGACACTTCCGAAAAAAAAAAGAAGTATTTTTTTAATTTGCAATAAATTTTGACTTTTTTTTTATACTTTTTTATATTTTTTTTCTTGTTCGAATCTGCCTTTTTTTTTTTCCAGGCTTAATTGCATAACTAGAAGTACCCACATATATGAATTTAGATACTAAATAACGGTACTTCATGCGATACATGATATTTTTAATCTTTCCCATCACAATTCTACCACTCATGTAGCTNTCAGGCTTAATTGCATAACTAGAAGTACCCACATATATGAATTTAGATACTAAATAACGGTACTCCATGCGATACATGATATTTTTAATCTTTCCCATCACAATTCTACCACTCATGTAGCTATACTCACCCTAATATTTTTAGAAAATTACTCATTTCTGTGCTAAATTAAGGAAGGTGAAATAAAGTAGTTTTGTGGGAGTAGTAATATAAAGAATATGAAATAATTTAATTTGATGAGATCAACGTATTGTTATTAAATAATTTAAAATTAAAAAATATGGTACTTGATAAGGAAAAGTTTAAGCACCATATTTTCTAAATTGATTGATACATTATGTAGTAAATATAGATTCAAAGTAGATAGAGTATGTGTGTGAGAGAGAGACTCGAATGGGAGAGGTGATAGGAGAGAAACTTGGAATAGTTGAGAAATTTTATGAATTATTTTACTAATTAGGAATTAATTTATGCAAAAAGGGTCAGTACCATAAAATCNCAGAGACTCGAATGGGAGAGGTGATAGGAGAGAAACTTGGAATAGTTGAGAAATTTTACGAATTATTTTACTAATTAGGAATTAATTTATGCAAAAAGGGTCAGTACCATAAAATCAAAAAATAAAAAATTCAAAAAAAATTAGAATGAGATTTTGGAGCTCATACTTTGCTATATATTATTTATAGATATTAACAGATTATTTTGACAAAATAATAATAATCGAGCATGATTTCATTAATTGAGAAAATTACTTTATTACTTAAAAATATTACTCGAAAAATATTACCTAAGGATAGATAAACTTATCTCATGTGCTGGACACATTTTTTTTATCACATGAATGGGGGAAAGGGATGACTAGTAGATAGTGACCCTTTTTGAGCGTGACCATAAGGGTCTCCTCTAGAGAGCTACAGACTCTTTTGAAGTAGCCCGTCNACATTTTTTTTTATCACATGAATGGGGGAAAGGGATGACTAGTAGATAG